ATTGTCTTTTATGTTGGATCAGATTTCTTTTGAGAAGTCTGCAAGCTCTATTAGGATTTGCTTCATCTTCTGGGTGCCTAGTGAGCTGAAACCACTTTCGCAGTTTTTTTTTTTCTATATTAATGTATTTATGTGAGCAGGATAGAACTTGGATTTGTGTTTGTAAGTAATTTATGGGGTGGACCTCCAAGCAGCTTGCTGAATAACTTTAGTTAAGTCAGTTACTGCATTTTCTATGTCCCTATCACTTTTAAGAGGTAAGTTTAATGTTAATGGATGTTCTTATTTCTTCTCTATATGTGTTTACATTTGTTCTTTTATAAGAGTATTCAATGTTTAGAAAAGTTACGAATTTGGTTTTGTGGATCTATGAATAAATGGGAATGCTCTGACGAAAGGTCAAATAAAGGAGAAATTTGGAGATACGTATGTGATAATTCTTTTACTATACCGAAATCAAGAAGATCAGGAATTATTTTGTCTCAGGAGGCCAATAAGTAGGCTCTCCAGTAAAGAGAGAAATTAAATGATTCTCATTAGTCCAGGCTGTGAGGCCGCTGCCGTTGGGAAAATGTTTCTGATTCGGTTTTCTTCGCGGATTTCGGTTCAAAAATGTCCCCTTTAAACAAATCTGAAGGGTGCCGGGCGAAATTTTTGGGCAGAAATTGTTTAAACAATTTTTTTAAACAAAGTCCAAAAATAATTTTTTTTTAATCTGGAAAACGTTTTTTTTTTAAGTTTTTTGGGCCATTTTAAACAAAAAAAGTCTGTTGTCATTTTTCTCTAAAGTTGATAGTTTTCGAGTTATAAGCGATTTAAAGTCTGAAAAACGCGAAAATACGCATTTTTTGAGCTTGAAAAACACATATGTAGATTATTATTTTTGGGGTTACCAAGTGTCTAAATTAAAGTTTAAACATTCAACTTCAAGATTGTGAAGAGTAATCGGGGCTATATTTTAATTTAGACCGTTGTTTTTTAATTGTTAAGTATGCGCGTACACTCGATTTTTCAGCCGCCGCGGCGCCGCGCGCTACCGTGCGCCTCTATCGTACTTATGCATAGTTTACCTATACTTACAAATAATTATTATTTATTGAGTACATATTTATTTATATCAATTGAGTTATAATATAAATTTCGTCTAAAGTCTAATAATAGTTACATAAAATAATTGTACAAAAGATTGTTAAATAACACACTAATATCACTCAGTAAAAGTATCTTTGTTTTCACAAAAATCTAAATCACATCCACATAATGGTACACAGTTGACATGATTTTTCTTGCAGTTGCAAGCATTAGTTTTGCAAGTCTTTTTGCATTTGCACGGTTTCCCAACCCACCACTATCAGACATATAATATCCATATTGTGTAAAATCGAGAGTTTGATAGCGGGAATATATGGCATTTCGCCAAATATATGTTTTAGCGAAAGCTCTTAACAAGTGTTGGTAAAGTGCGTCAGAGGTACAAGGTATATTGGCTAGATTAAATTAAATTTTTCAGTCACACTGTCTTTTCGTCGAAGAGCAGCATTTTGTATTGTTATGTAAAAATCTACTTTAGGTTTTTGCACTAACTTAATATTGTTGATGTTATTACAAAAAATACAAACTAAATTTTCTTCGGTAAGTTTTCATTTAAGAAGAGGTACGGAAAAAGACATTTAAATCCATTCACAATTTTTTTAATAACACATTAATAATATAATACCCTTTTAATGGGCATTAAACAATAGTCTTCCTAATGATCGTTTAAGTAATAACAAATCAAGTATGAGCGCGCGATTGTTAAACAGGTAAAAACTTGCATTTTTGCGATAGTATATTGTTTTTAAACACCGCGCAATTTAAAATTAAGTTTACTAATATTAATATTTACTGCATTGTATTATTTAAATAATAATTTAAAAATATTATTTACAATTGATATAAAATAAAGAGGGCCCGCGTAGCGCAAGCGGTAGTGTGCTTGCCTCGCATGCCGGTGGTTCGTGAGTTCGAATCCTACCGCCGGCAAGAACAACTAGGCATTTTTTAAAATGTCTATAGGCCCCAGGTCGACTCAGCCTGAATAAAATGAGTACCTTGGGTAAAACCAGGGGTAATAATAGGCGGTTGAAGCGTAGCACTGGCCATGTTACCTTCCTTGTATACCGTAGGCCCTAGATATAGCAGACTACCCTGCTATACTCCCAAAGCCGCGTGCGGTATAAAACGGGAGACTATTATATATAGATATAAATAAATATATACTCAATAAATAATAATTATATTGTTCAAATTTGGAAGAAAAAAAAACTATATACGGTTATTACATTGCGATGATTGATTTATTTAATTACCCCAATAACAATAATTAATACCTACATAAAATAAATTATGGAAAAAACTATGTTAATAAACTTCAAGGATTTGTTCGGTTTTTTTTTGCGTAAGTGTATATGTAAACTATGCATAAGTACGATAGAAGCGCACTCTAGCGCGCCGCGCCGCGGCGGCTGAAAAATCGAGTTCACGCGCATATTTAACAATTAAAAAACAACGGTCTAAATTAAAATAAGCCCCGATTACTCTTCACAATCTTGAAGTTGAATTTGTAAACTTCAATTTAGACACTTGGTAACCTCAAAAATAATAATTTACATATGTGTTTTCAAGCCTCAAAAATGCGTATTTTCGCGTTTTTCAGACTTTAAATCGCTTATAACTCGAAAACTATCAACTTTAGAGATGTGGAAATTGTAGATCCATTCCAAGCATTCTTTTTTTATCTGACAAACAATTTGTTTAATTGCGTTTTACTTATTTGTAAAACTCAAATAAACCGTTGACAATCTGTTATAATTTCCACCGAGTTAATAAATTATCAAGTCGCTCCGTTCTTGGGCAACTTCCACAATAATCTCCAATAAGGCAAATTACTGTTTTTACAGCTTGTGTCGGCTTCTTCAGAGAGCCGTCCTGAAAGAACGTTTTTCAAATATTTGTTTTAATTATAGCCTGTCTTCTTCCAGCCATTCTGTTTCACAAAAATGTCGTTAGAACTTATACTCTGATTGCGTCATAAAAATTAAACAGGAATGAGATGATGTTAGATACAGAAGTCAATCATCACTTGAGATAACTGTTAAATAATTGATTCGAAGAAATAATCTGCTAAACATCACTTGGATAACCTCAGAGATATTTTTTAATGATTATTGTAAGAACTGATTCGAATTTTTATGGCAATTTTTTATAAATTACACTAAGCCATCGAGAAAATTTATAATTCTAGTAATCTATGAAGTTTAAATGTTGTATGTCGTTACTTCTAAAGAATAACGTTTATTTTTTATATTCTGAGGAATAAGACCACCAAAAGATTCAATTTTATGGAATAAATGTTTACTTTTTACGAAAAGTTAGTTGCTTAACTAATTTGTGCAAATACACTTGCTGAAAATTCGACAGCGAAGTAGGAGCATTTTTATCTATATAGATCCAGTAGAAATGTTTAAATAATATCCTAAGCTTAAAGTTAACTATGAACTCAATATCTAATACTAGATAATGGTAAATTTAATATTGGACTAAGTATTTACCTAGCATTAAGTGAATCTTAAAGTAAACTTATACCAAATACAATATAGACTGTTGCGTTTCTCTTTATTTAATATCTGTGGTTGCGGTTCTGTTTCTGTGAGTCTCTCTCTCACCATTCTCCTATTCCGATTTCGTCGTATACTTATCATCAGAGAGACTTGAGACGACTGATCTGAAGTGAAGTCAGTATCTAGCTCGCTAAAATATATATAGGTACGTCGGTTTAGAACGTCTTTCGACGTTGTCCGATACCTAAACACCATATCTTCCTATATCCTTCCTAGAATCTGGGTCTTTCTCTTTTCCGTCGACCTATCGGTTGTCATTCTACTACTTTTTTGGGGAGTCTTGTTGCTGGCATCCGTTGAACATGCCCATACCACCTTAATTGTTTCTTCTCTATATCTTGATTATGTTTCCTTCTATTCCCATACGTTGTTTTATTACATCATTTCTGATTCGGTCTCGTCTGGAAATACCTAAAGATCTTCTCCATCTCTACTGCTTCTATTCGCTTTTTGTTCTTTTCACTAATTCTCCATGTTTCAGCGCCATAAAGAAGCGTAGTTTTAATCATGGTCTTATATATATATATATATATATATAATATATATATATATATATATATTAAATTTTCTTCCTTTCGTTATCTCTTTACTCCACAGTATACCATTGAGACATCCTAAGACTTTCTTTGCTTGTGTGATTAGTTCTTCTATTTCCCGTGTATCAGTTCCTGTATTGTCAAAGGCAACACCCAATTAGTCATAGCTCTGACAGCAGGAAATATGTTGTTCGTTTCGAGGTCTATGTTATCTGACTCGTTTCCAATACAAAGATATTTGGTTTTTGTTGTATTGACATTCATTCCCCAGTCGTTATATTCTTCTATCAGTTTTCTAAGCATGTACTGCATGTCTACCCTGTCGGTCGCTAGTACTACCTGGTCATCAGCAAACTGGACTGTATATATACATTCATTGCTAAGCTCTATACCCATCCTATGCACCTTTCTTTTCCATCTTTCCAATGCTGCTGCAACATATATTTTGAATAAGGTTGGTGAGATACAGCATCCCTGTCGCAAGCCTTTTGTAACCAGGAATTCTTCCGTTAGATAGTTTCCTGTTTTTATCTGTGCCTTTGAGTCTCTATATAGTTCTTGTACAACATTTATCAATCTGTGGTTGATATTAGATCTTTTCAACGTTGTCCACAATTTTGTTAAGGGGATGTTGTCATATGCTTTCTGCAGGTCTACAAAGTAATATGAGTTTCTAGATTCTTAGCCGATTTTTTTTCTATTATTTCTTTTGTGTATTGAGGGCATGTATGCCGTTTTCCATTGTTCTGGTACTGGGTGTCCATTTAGACACTGATTGATCACATAAGTTAAGTTTTCAAATAGTTTATGAGTTCCATTCTTAAGCATTTCAGCATAGATTCCCCCAGGTCCAGCGAATTTACCATTCTTTAGGGTCATTACAGCCTTCCTTACTGTTTCGATCTCTACCCTCGCTACCTCTCCTTGTATATGTACTGACTGTGTTGGGGAGTTCGCTCAGCAAGCTTTCATAGTGATCTTTCCATTGTCTTGGTTTTATGGTGTGTATGTGTGCTTTGTCTTTTTCTATATTTTTTGCTGATTGTATAAAATTCCATACCTCTGTACATTGCTTCCCTCCGATGTATGTATTAATTTCTTGGCATTTCTGATCCCATGTTTTATTCTTTTCTTGTTTTATCATTTTTCGTAGTTGTCTATCGGTTTCTTTGTAAGGTTGATGGTCTTCAGTATTTTTTGTATTTAGCCCTTTTAGATGCTGTTCTTTTTTCTGTTTTAGCATATATTCGATTTCTTCGTTCCACCATATTTTGTTATTAATTCTATTTTGCTGTGTCCCGAGTGTCTCCTTATGATTTTTCTTCTATATGATTTTTAAAGGAACCGCACCCAAACTCTCCGACACCAGCAGAAAGGCCTAGATTATGTGTGTACTCAAGTAGACATTTTGTTTATGTTACAAGTGTTCAACCATGTGTTCTTTAATCGTGGTCAAAATTTCATATTTATGTTTGTTTTAATTAATGTGTAGACACTTATTTTAGGTAACTGTGCTGATGATGAATTTATTAATCTGAAAACATTCTGTGATGTAACCCTAAAGGGAAATTTTAGAATATGTATACCTTTTATAAAACATTTTTTAAATAGAAAATTTTTATGATTCATGATATACAGCAAACTACAAGAATTTAATTATGTATCCATAATTGTTATATACAAAAATGGGCTAAAGTTGTGTCCGTGTTTCAATTCAGTGTTATTTTTAACTTCTTAAGATCTTTTACTCCGTAATTGCACTTCTTCAATAATCTTTACGAACCAATACCATGTATCACTATTTTTTTGCCATTTTTTCTCTTTTACTTCATATAAACTAAAATAGTTTAGCTGAACAGTACTCAGACAAAGACATACTTCTTAAAAATGATTTTAACGTCGCCCTTTGCATAATATATTCTCACTACCTCCTAATTTCCCTGATACTTCTCCACAGCTCCAAAATTAACTCGCCAGTCCGACCACAACATTTCCCCACATTTCCCATTTTCTTTATTTCCTAGCATTGTAGCTAGGTATGTTCACGGAATACTTAACATTTCTCTATGCAGCTACATACCTAAAATCTCTAATTTATTCATGGGACTTACTTCGCGGTGTTGCAAACTTAATCTGTTGAATGACGAACAACTGGCCAGAATGGAGCCGAGTAAAACAGTTAGTTCAAGTAGTCTTGATAATACAAATCCGGCAAGTTGCCAGAATAATAATCGGGCGGGAATTGAAATACGGGCATTAGAACAAAGAAAAATGAAGGGACAGAACCTACCAAGGGTTTAAGGTTTACAATACAGTGAATAAAAACAATAGAAAAATATTTTTTTTTCTACCTTACGTCGTTGAATGGAAATTAATATCTGAGTAAAATATTTAATTTTTTAAGACTACCCCTACAAACTCGTGTCATGTTTTATGCGAATCTTTCATTATTAGAAATACTGCTAAAAGTCTTCTTCTGACAGCTCCTAAGGCGCATGTCTTTTTTTTTTTTTATATTTTAAGGACTTAAATCTTGTAACTTTTAAAGTTGATTTGACTTAGTAAAATCTACAGAAGTCTAGAAATGTAGTGAAATAAAAACAATAACCTTGCCGTTTTTTTAAACGACTTTTTAACGATAAACGCAGAGCGACAGTGGATCAAGATGACGACATGACTGGACCCGAAATACTAAGGTCTGAAGTGGAAAAAGCCATTTCATCGCTAAAAAACGACAAAACACCAGGTCCCGACAACATACAGGGCGAGATCATAAAACTCCTATGCGAAACGGATGACCACTTCCTCGATTTTCTGACAGGTCTTTTTAACACCTTTTACGACAAAGGAGAGATTTCGGAGGAATGGCTTCGATCGACCTTTGTAGCCATACCTAAAACACCAAGTGCAAAACACTGTGATCAACACCGCTTAATAAGCTTGATAAATCACAGTACCAAAGTTTTCTCCAAAATCATACACAATAGAATATATAGCAAATGCAAATATATCGGAGTCACAGTTCCGAAGCGCACTGAGCACAAGAGAGGCGATCTTCAGTCTACAAGTTTTAATTCAAAGATGCAGAGACATGCACAAGGACGTCCACTTGTGCTTCATCGACTTCTCCAAGGTGTTTGACAAGGTCAAACATGATAAACTCATAGAAATGCTCAGGAAGATGCATATTGATGGCAAGGATCTGCGCATAATAACCAGTCTCTATTGGAACCAAAGTGCTGAGATAAAGATGGGCAACTTACACAGTGGGAAGATAGATATCAAAAAGGGTTGCGTCCTCTTGCCGCTCCTGTTTAATATATACTCTGAACAAATCTTCAGAGAAGCACTGGGAGAAGTTTCGGAGGATATCAAAGTAAACGGAGAGGTAATAAATAATATTAGATATGCTGACGACACAGTTATCGCAAATGACTGCAACGAGCTTCAAAGACTCATGCAAAGCATACACACAGCAAGTCAAGAATATGGTTTAGAACTCAATACAACCAAAACTAAATGCATGCTCATCAGCAGAACACAACAACCTCCGATGCAATTGACATTAAACAACCGAAAAATAGAACAAGTGGAGACAAACACATAGGTACCTTGGAACCACAGTCAACACAAAATGGGACCAGTCAACAGAAATAAGATCACGAATTGAAAAAGTGCGAAACGCGTTCAACAATAGGAAAAAGTGGTTCACAAGCAAAATCTCAATGGAACTAAAATTAAGACTGGTCAAGTGTTATGTCTTCTCGGTCTTGTTCTATGAAACAGAGGCATGGACCACAACGGAAGCCACCCTGAAGAAACTAGAATCCTTTGAGCTGTGGATATATCGCCGTATTCTTCGGATATCACCATCACACTTCGGACAGACCACATCACTAACGTGGAAGTAATGCAGAGAATAGGCAAAAGCCGAGAAAGCTTGAGTACTTCGGACATATCATCAGGCATACTAAGTACCGGCTGCTACAGTTAATAGTCCAAGGAAGAATCGACAGTAGGAGGGGACCGGGAAGAAGACGACACTCATGGATGCATAACCTGCGACAATGGTTCGGACTAACATCGACCGAACTGATAGGGCAAAGGAAGAAGAAGAACCTTGCCGTACTTGATCATTCCTTATTGCTACATTGGTAGTTTAATTGCTTCCAATTTCTGCTTACATTTCCTGGTAGATTTTAGATACAATAGCCGTTTGACCTTATGACATTTACATATTGCAGCCTAATTTTTTTTTTCTATTGCTAACATCGATGTCTATGGTTTTGAGTAAAGCTGTTTGACTGACTTTCGGGGTCTTTGTCTCTTTCTTCGTCCGATCGGGCTCCATTCTGTGATTTTGTTTATCCAGCGTCCTCTGTCCGCTCTTCTGACGTGGCCGTACCAGGATAGTCTCTTCTTCTCTATATAGTCGATTATGTCTGATTGCACTCCCATTCTCCGCTTAATCTCTGCGTTTTCAATTCTGTCTCTTTTTTAAGTCTACTTCTTCTCCTCAGGAACTCCATTTCTACTGCTCTTATTCTACCTCTATTTCTCTTGTTTATTGTCCAGTTTTCGGACCCATATGTCAGGATACTTCTTGTCAGGGTATTATATATTCTCTTTTTTGTCTTTATCGTAATGTTCTTATCCCACAGCACTGAATTTAGTTGTCTTATACAGTTTCTTGTTTGTCTTAGTATGTTGTTTATATCTTCTTCTGTTGTTCCCTGTTTCGATATTATGGTTCCTAAATACTTGAATTTATCTGTTCCATTTACTTGTCTTCCCGCGTCTATCTCTCTCTAGGTTTCTCATATCCTTGTTTTCTGTTGTTAGGTATTCGGTTTTCTCTAAGTTTATTTCCATTCCGTTGTTTTTATATTCGTCTTCTAGTTTTCTGAGCATAAAGCTGGGATCTTCTTCATCTTGTGCGATGACTACTTGATCGTCGGCAAAACTTAAGGTGTATAGGTATTCGTCTCTTACTGGTATGCCCATTCCTTCGCACTTTCTCCTCCATGGTTTGAGTGTCTTTTCCAAAAATATTTTAAACAGAGTAGGGGACGTAGCACAGCCTTGTAGAAGTCCTTTTGTCGTTTTAAATGGATTGTAGGTAAGGTAGGCTGTAGGCTAAAAGATATACTGGCTATATATGACTGCAGTTAAACCTACTATTATGTATTGATCATTGTATGGTGGTCTAAATGCCAACAAAAAAACCAGAGATAAGCCGAATAATAAGCTTCAACGACAAGCACACTTGGTGTTACAAACAGTTATAGAGATGTGCTTGCAGGAACTAATAAAGAGAAACTGCAGTCACAGATTTATAAAAATTATATCGGATATCCACGCGGAATTAAAGGCACTGGAATCTTGTTAAATTGACTCCAAATTAGTTTGAAAATGTCTTCAGAATATGATTCGAATCGGAAAAAGTAGCAAGTTTCTGGTTACCTGAATATATTGGTATTGAAGGGAATGTAAAAGCTAACCTAGTTGCCAGAGGAGGGAAGGATAGGTAAGCGACAACTCATATTGAACTTTACCTAATTTCACCTATCTCACAGCATTAGCGACTATGACTAAGTATGAAAAACTTTACTTGATTAGTTTTTAAATTAATTTTTATTTTTTTCTATAATTAACTATTTTCCTTGTAAGTAGTATATCTAATTTAATTTCTTTATTAAATATCCTTGCCATGCTTCTAAAGCTGACATAATCCGGGTAACTAAACAAAACCCAGAACCCTGAGGGCGATTTTATCGAAACGAACAACCTCACGAACGTCGTATTGATTGAAATACACCTTGAAAATTCGTTGCTGGAACCTTTTCACTCTTTTGTTGTTGCATTTTGGGGTCGAAACGCAAATTGGTGATTACTGGCAATATTTCCGACCTCAGTGAACTCGGCTATCATTTAGGCCAGCGCGAAAGGCAGACGACGGCGAACTGTGAAAAAGGAGAAAAAGCATCGGCTAACTTTGAGTGGAATATAGAGTTGGAATTTTGTAGTGCGAATTTTAATAATTACCTTTGAGTCAGCCGGAAATTGTACATAATGTTCAAAAATTCAGTCTAAAAGCTTTTTGATTGGATGTGTTTGGAAAAATTAATTTTTAAATGGAAAATCGAACAAATTAGATATCTAAGTAACTTTCAATATAAGCACATATTAACAACATCTACAAAAAAGGAGATAGAAAGAATTGCTGAAACTACAGGGGGCTAA